CTCTTGATAGGAAACATGCATACATGTATCAGGTTCAAACACAAATACATACTTGCTCTGTTGACTATGCTGACTTTGTGTTGTGGACAAATACAGATGTCCATATCGAGCGAGTTGAGCCTGATGCAAATATGTGGGATGAAATTCTAGAAAAAAGTCGCGAGTTTTTCTACAAAGCAGTGCTACCAGAATTAATGGGCAAATTTTACACCCGTATCCCATCTGTTCACGATAAGCCACCAGCTACACACTGCTACTGTGGAAAATCGCAACCTGTGGACAAGATGATCTCATGCGCTAATGAAGGCTGCAAAATCACCTGGTTCCACCAAAGTTGCCTCCAGATAAAGAGACTGCCAAAAGGGAAATGGATCTGCCCAGAGTGTCGTAAAATACCACGGAAAAAGGAAGAATGAAATTTTGATTATAACAATAATTGGTTGTGCTTTTTAAGGAAAGTTGCAGAGAGTTTAATCACTTTCTTTTTTCCACCCCAAGGCAAAAAATGCATAACTTTTGGGCTAAAGCCATTCCCTGAAAAAACTAGTTTTTTTTTTCACTTTGAGAAAAGATAAAGGCTTTTGTGCAAAAACATGATCTTAATTGTCCAATGGGCTCCATCACTGTGGAAAGACTGTACCCTTATCCTTAAAAGAATACATTTAAAAAGGGCTCCTGCATGTACCTTACTTTTCCTAGTTGTATTAATTTCAAATGGGTGCAATCAAATGTACGTGTATAGAATTCCCTTGTAACACACACCAGGCTATAATAAAAACAAAGGACCTCTGATCAAAGTTTTTCTTTTTGTAACAGTAAGCAAGTGTTTTTATTATTGAGATACACTGTGCATACTCATATGACAATGCAGGTGAACACATTTCAGAAGATACTGTAGAAAGTTGCTCTAATGAACATTCTGCATCCGTGAACATGACTCATGGCTCTCAATGTGTAAGTTACAGTGTATCTCTTTGCTTCCTATAGTCTATAGTACATGTATAATGATCACCCACAGTAACAACAACTTTTGATGGATCCCAAGGTTTTTCGTTATCTACTGTACTGTAAAATTGACTTCTCTTCAAGGGCGTGCCTTGTGTCAGAACCCACAATTGTAATATACAAAAATAAATAACATTCTTGTTATGTATACATGTCCAAAGGATGTGTTTCTCTGGTTCTTCCCCCCCCCCCTATATATATTTAGTTTAAATAAATATATATATAAATAAATATAATATAAATAATATAATATATATATAATATAATATAGATGTAAAAACAAAAGTAAAACAGTGCTCACCGGATAGTACAATCCAAGCTTTCAGTGCAAAGCACCTTCATCGGGGATACTATGGCTATGTGTGATGTGGTGCAGGAGGAACAAACACGTTTGTTCCACCTGCGCCACATCACACATAGCCATAGTATCCCCGATGAAGGTGCTTTGCACTGAAAGCTTGGATTGTACTATCCGGTGAGCACTGTTTTACTTTTGTTTTTACATCTACTATGCTTCACAGTGCTACGCAGCATCCCCACATTTTATAATATAATATATATAATATATATAAATAGATATATCCAATGAAAATGGCATCCATCACAATCCAATATATGAATAATATTATATATATAAATAAATATAATAAATAAATGAATGAATAAATAAAAATACATGATCATAATTAAAATAATACACTGGTTAAGATAAAATGTGTTTGGAAATGGCCACAACAATGAAAACTATATACACCGGTTATAAAAAAGAATCACAACATTTACACTGCCATCCACCACCGCATTAGGCATTTAGAAAAATAGGCAATAAAGATTGAAAAATTGCTTCAATGACACGTGTCTGGAAAAGCAAAAATCCATTCAGTCAAAAGGAACAACTGATGGGCACATGTTGGTCATAGAACAAGATACAACGGTGATTTTGTCCAGAAGTGTAACATTATCATCTCTGGAAATGACAAAATCCATGGGAATTGTGCTGTGGAGGATGGTATATTTCTGGCGCAGATGTCCTATAACTCGCTCCACATGAATTCTGGAGTTTGCTACTCTGCGCGTGTTTTCAACTTGCTCTCCAGATAGTCGTGGCCCATCTCTTCTAAATGCAGGGAGTACAAGCTTAGCACCCATCATTCCAACACTGTCTGAAACATCAAATCCCCTGTCTGCCATCACAACATCCCCTGGACACAACTTGTGGAGGAAAGATGAATGCTCAACCACGTATTTGTCGCTTGCTCTTCCACCCCAGCCTTGTGATAAATAAGATATGACTCCTTGAGGGGTGATGCCGATTAAGTATTTAACAGTGTTGTTGTGTTTGTACGAAGACCATGTTGACGTTCGTGCTGCAAGATTGGACGGCCTTTCTAAAAATATTTCGAAGCAATCGATAATAACAGTTATCTGTTTGCCAAAGTGTGTCCTGAAACTCATGGGCATAGTTTCCCACAGCTGTTCCCGATCAGGCCAAAATATGAGTGGCTTCAGTCTGATATACATGATGTTAATATGTTCAAAAATGTTTTAGATGCTGTAGACTTATGCACATTAAACCTCTGCCCAAGGTCCACATATGTAGGATTCAGTCGGAGTTTTATGAGGCACAACACTAGCTGCTGAAATTTTGTTAACTTGTTCAAACAGCTGCACACAATGAATGTTTCTAGGTACGTAAACAGAACATCCAAAATGGCAAAGCTTGACAATCCTGTGAAATGCTTCACATTTTCATCATTATCTTGGAAGAACTGCCGATCAAAATTATTGTTACTCTCAGCCAGCTGCTCTTTCAATTTTCGGTTTTCCTCTAACAATCGCTGTAATTCCGTTTGTGTGGAATTCATGGAGTTGCTATCCAAGTCAGTTTGGCAGGCCTCTTCGGAAGTGGACTGTTGTCGTTTGGGGGTCTTGGGAACTGAATGAAGCTGGAGAAGAGCCTCGGCGGCATCCAATTTGGACTTCTGTCCCTGCCTGTAGCAGCGTCTTTGGTATCTCTCCAAGTCTCGAGTGGCAGTTGCACCATCTATGTTGCTGTGACCAAGCTTGACAGTTGGTGCCCAGTCTGGATTGGTATTATCATACAATGCAGAGGGCTTTCCTACAGGGAATAAAATACAAAATAAGTTAAAAAATTGTTCATTCAAATAACATTATAGTGGGTGGACCCCTATTGATCACAAAAAAAGGGTTGGTTCCATAATCCTTTGTTTTTTACTCCCAACTGCACATACGTAACAATGCGCGTTGTTTTTCTTTCGTGACCTTTGACAATGCATGTGCTACTACGTTCACACAAAGGCTTTTTGTGTGCATCTCATCTAGGCGCTTGCGTCAAGCAGGTCTGATATCGCGCACTCTGCATGTGTCCTGCACTGCTCCCTGTAGGATGCCATCTTGATGTTGATCACCGTTGTCAGGCATTGTGGGTATTGTCAAAGGTCACGACAGAAAAGCAATGTGAGCAGTTAGGGGTTACGTATGCGGTTACAAAAAGGGCTAATGTACAAGAAATTGGCAGAGAAAATGAGCGTTGATTTCCATATAATATCCATTATCCAAGCACTATCTCAGAATCTCAGAATGTTGACTGGACATCGCTGCTAGGCATCATCATCCAACTATGGATTTACAATCTTGTTAAAGTGCAGGCTTGATGAAAAAAAAAAAAATTAGCGAGGAAAAATATTGGAAAGAATTCCATACCCAGCCACTTCCATGCACAAAACCTACACTTACGGGACATGCCAATGTTTCCTAAGAAAATCTGGCAAAAATCTGAGCGCGGTTTGCTCACAGTCACAGGTACACTTAAACTTTAAATTTGTGTCAAAATCCCCATCCTGGGGCATGAAAAACATAACGAAAACCCCAAATAAGGGTCGGGATAGTGCAAGGAGGTGGAGAGGGCCAGGGGAACATTAAGTCCATGGAGTACCACAGAATAAAAGATTTTTCATAAATTTCAAAGAAAAACTTTAAATTTTCTCACTCCTGTAACTGTAGTGTAATATTAATAATATTATTAAAATAATCATTTTTAGGAAAGAATTCCATATACAGACTCCTCAGACCTTCTGCACAAACTGTATGGGCCATGACAGAAAAAAGTCAAGGTGTTTTCTGACAAAAAATCTTGATTCAGTTTTCCCTCCTAAATTTGCGTTTCTTCATCAGATTTACAACTTTGGGTACTTAATTTCAAGTCATATTTAGGAAAAATAAGAGGAGTCCGTATACGGAATTCCTTTTACTCAAATAACTCACCGCTTGTAAAATGGTCCGAGCAGACCCGTACATACGGCAAGTTACTCTTTAATGTCTCGGGCGATTTGCGACAGCCATTTAGCGCGTCTGCTCTGGGAGAGTTCCAGAGTGGCAGCTCCTTCTCGGGTCAAAACGGCGGGCAGCCGAAAAAAAGATTTTTTGTCCCGATTCCCCCTGTTGCTGCAGCCAATAATTGCGCAAAAATTCACCATTACTATGTCTTACACTGCTTGGAAACATAGAAAATGTCGAAACAGCAACCAACTGACAAAAGTGTGCATGCTGCGCTACGCTACCGTCACGTACGTACACATGTACGTGGGTACGGGTACTTGTGTGCGTTTTGTTGTTGTTATGTTGTAATCCAACATGGCCGACCAACAAAACAATGACGTCACCCTCGCGCCCTCTATATAGTTCGCGCCTGAGCTCCCTCCATTGGTGGACCCAACCACTTGCAGTAGATATGCTTCCACGCGTGACACGTACACAGTAATAAAACAGCCACTGGGATCACTCACGGCTCATTGTGTGAACAACACGGTACTCACCTCAGCATGGAGTGTTAAACTGATTGTGAAATGTAGTTTTATCCAGAATTTTTTTCTGCGGTACCTTATACGCGGATATTTTTCCCGCGTTATCAGCTTAAAAAAATACAAAGGGGTCCTCAAGAGTTGGCAATAAATTGATACTTTGATTAAGGGACTCTGGGATTTCAGTTCTTATCTTTAATTGAAGGACGATCAGTTGGAGAGGAAACCATGGCCTCAAATGCGGCCACTCTTCCTTACGCAGCAGCAGCAGCATGCATCGTCATCGCAGTACTACCGTGGATCCACGGCATAGAATCGTACTGGGGTCACCGCAGTTTTAAGGTCCATTGTGAGAAGGGGATCCGTCTTGGTGGCGGGGACGCCGGCTTGGGAGTCTCCCGTAAGACGTCATCCAAAGCCCAGTGTCTGCGGAGCTGCTTTGCTCGCGCCGAGTGCAAGTCTATCAGCTACTCGCCAAAGACGGGCCAATGCTACATGAGCGACTCCACCAAGGGTGTAGCTGGGACATCTCAGGATGAGGGATACGTCTACTGCGGACCTGACCAGGATGAAGTGTGGGAGGTATTTTCTTTTCCTTTCCGTCCCCCTTTTCTATTTTTAAACAGATGCATGAACAAAATCTTGTGACATTCGTTGATATAAACGACCGAAACAATAAGTTACACGCGCTTACGATAGCTAGTAAGCCAAAACACGGCATGTGAAAAAAATATCTGCGGCGATTTTAACTAATTCACTTTGTTGTGGCGTTACTACGCTGTTACCACTCCTAGTTACATTTGGCTAGAAAAACATTCACATTTGCACCCGGCTGGCTACAGCTAGGGTCAGATTGGTTTGGTGTGCAAGATGGACTATATTCTAGTTAATTCAAACCAGAGTATTTTTGGAGTGTTTAGGGAATGGGACAAGCTCCCTCGAGGCCCCGCCTCTCATTGCGTCCTCTAAACGAGCATAAAACACTGGAACTTATTAACCCTCCAGAAAATGAAACCTCTAACCTAAAAACTATACAGCGTGTCCCAATAAACATTGTGCATGAAGGCGTCGCTAATTTGCTGAAAAGGTGGTCTAGCTAATCAATTTTTATAATATTTTAAAGCCCATGGAATTGTTTATAATTGGTAAAAATATCAGGAAATTTCATCAATGCAACCAGAGATATTGTTGATATTGTAAGGCCATTTTTTTCCTCCTGCACAATTAGAATCCTGTAGTTATGCTTAGGCCGATACATTTAAGCTGTCAAAGGAGATTGCATGTTCATTGTCCTTTCAAAATCTTTGTCAAAGACTAAACACCTAGCATTTTGCTTTCCCAGTTGTATAAGATTTAATTATACAATGACATGTACCTAAATGTTATCTGTGAACACCCTTATCCAAATGCAACATGAAGGCGACGCAATATTTCACTGCGTAACAGTCATGTGCTTGCGAAGGTTACGTAACAATTCATTTTGAAAGAAACTACGTGTAAACACATGTTCACGTTGGCGAGCGAAATCTTTGAAAATTAATTTCTCCCGTTTGGAAGACCATATCTTCATGCAACTTTCAGGGTTTACTTCCCTCATAATGACCCAAGTATGTGCTAAAAATTGTTGCGATGTGTTCATTTCCTTTCGTTGAAATTGGAAAAATAGGCCGGGGTGCGTATTTTTTTATTCCTAGGAGGGTTAGGGGCAATGTCATGAATAATTCATGTTGATCCATGAGAACGGACAATGACATCAACAGCATTGTTGTTAGTTACTCAACTAGTTACAATACTTAAAGCATTTTAAAGAACGGTTGTCGTCGAGCTACCACACAGTAGCCTAGTGGATAGCGAGATGAGCTATGGATACAAAGATCCCTGGTTCGAATCCACGTCGTCGCTGCTCATTTTCATCAGCTATTTTTCTTCTCCAAATTTATCACGGAGATAATTTTAAATTAAGGGGAAAATAGAACGAAAACCTAAGTCTTGCAATGATTCAAAGGAAGAACTGAATTATTCATGACATTGCCCCTAACCCTCCTAGGAAAAAAAATTACGCGGCCTGGCTGCGTGCACTTTTGAAAGTTGGAACACTTGCGTTTGCAATATCTGTCAATCTTTTCAAGACTCACAAATATTATTAAGGTTCCTATTCATTATGGTATGCAGTATAAATTTGGAGAAAAGCCGCCTTAACGAGTTGTTAATTGATAAATATCACCCTTTTGCCGGCTTCCATTGGTCGATACCGAGACCCACGCCACAACACGCCGAGTGACGCCGATGAATATGCTAATCTACCATACTCGGTCAACCGTAGCGCCTATGGAGTTGGTTCTAGTTGGTACACTAGCGTTTGCAACAACAGATTAAGCTGAAATTCGGAATATTCTTAGATGATATAAGTGTTGAACAAATCGTGAAATAACAACTTGGAGAGATTCCTAGAAATTGAGGTTAATACATGCATTTGGGGAAGTTTTTCAACGATTTCTTCCAGACTTGAAGGTCAGCTTTACCAGTAACCAGTTTTGACGTTTCGGCATCGATGACCGAGATTTTTTTCACTGACATTAAGTTTAGAGTATAGTCTTCCGTTATAATTTAACATTTCAATCATACTGAGCATATTTTCTGACAAACACAACGTTCAAAGTTTTTGGGGATGCATGGATTTCACTGCTCTATTAAAGCGTCTAAAAGTACGTAATCGGATTAGCTTTGCCTAACAACACCAGATGCTTTGCCTTAGCAACCACATGACTGGTAACACATACCAATAACCCAATAATATACAAGCAAATACTAGTGTGGAAATTACATTGTGCAGGTCGAAAAAATACATTACCAAATCAAAAATATCTCCAGTTTGCATCGTTGGATTTTCTGGATTTTTTCTCACCAATTACAAACAAGACCATAGGTTTGAAAATGCTATACAGTTTGCTTAGCTAGTCTGACCAACTTTGAGAAAATCATCGACGTTTATTGGGACACGCTGTATATTCAATTGCTGTATGTCCATCGACTTTATGCATAGCAGCCATCGTAGAGAGTGCAATATTTTCACACACATGCATGATTATACCTATTTCTTTAATAAAATTACGGTGTCAAAAGAACATAATTTCCTCATATATTTCGCTCAAAACTATCTCCGTAATGGTTCCTTAATAGCTACTAGTGATAATACAGACTGCTAGCTACGCTTAATTGACCGTAAGCTTTGTAATGGTTCCATTCATTGTCAGGCGTTGTCGTGCGGTAACTTACCGTACAATTCACGACTAATAGGTACCATCAATTCACCATTGTCGTAACGTTTATCTGGGGTTTTTTTTGGGGGGGGGTTACAGTGCATGCTTTTCTTATTAATTATACTGTACGTCAAAGCACAGTTTTCAAAACAATCTCATAGCGGCTACCTATATATTGCTGATATCAACAAAGACAAAAATGTCTGCTTTGACTACTGCCAAAAGCATTTTCCATGAACGGACAAGCATCAGATGCGGTGATGTATCTATGGCAACAACGTGTGCCAAAATAAAGCTAGTCTATAAATAATAAAAGTGGGATTGAAATAAAGTCACTATGAGCAATGCATTTTTTAAGTGCTCATCGTACCAATCGAGGCTCCTAGTCATTATTTATGATTGCTGATGATTACTGCTTTTTTTAATGATGATTACTGTTTTTTAATGATTTTTCGTCGAAATGTCAGTGAATTATGCATTTAATCCAGCCTTGTATGTTTGTCCTTTGCTTATTTTTGCTCCTTTGTTTACCTGGGGGGGGGGGGGGGGTAGGGTTGTTTCAATTCCTACCAATCAACGAAATAAACTTCAATATGTTTTCTTCTGATTTATGGCCCTGGAGGATTTTAGGGAAGTTTAGTCCGAGAACCAGTCCGTTCCCACCTGATGCATGTGAATTATGGTAATTGATCATACTTGCTTGTAGAACAAAAAATACTTGCCAGTAGTTCAGTTCGACTCGCCCAAAAGTTCAATTATTGATCAGTTCTATGACCTTCGTTGAGTACGTCAACGTGTAATCAAATGTGTGCATCGTTACAATGAATTAGTAAACGCCTATTTCAGGATGAACACGTTCGATGGATATATATGGAAACTATAAAATGAACGTTAAACTTCAACCCTCCCTTGTTATGTCAGTCAACAAATTGGTGTACGGACCTTGAGAAATATAACGCAACTAAGACTTTTGAACTATGGGTTTTCTGCATATACTAGTCCAGTGTCCAGTATACGGTCTCCTCTCCATAATAAATGAAGTCACATGACGAGGAATGTAGTATAATGTCTTTTTTTCATAGTTATTTATGACACGTGAGATTGCATTATTCAAATGAATGTGGTTTTTATGTTTATCTAATTTTTCAGGGACTAACAAAATATATAAATCTAATAAGGGGGATTGAGGAATAACACATAATGCCTATTTGACCATACCAAACACACACTGACAGAGGATGTCTTAAAACAATTGCTTAAAGTTGGTTGATTCGTGGTTTTTTTCCTTCAAAATTTCAAGTTTCTTTTCCGAACGAATTTGGAATGAGTATCATGTCCTGTAACAAAAATATGTGCTTGTTTGCATTAATACATGCGTTTATATAGTTTTAAAAAGTGGTTTTACACAGCACTCCGGTTCAGAAAGTTTTGAGCGAAACGCTATAAATATACATATCTAGTGACGTATAGCCACGTATTCATGTATGTTAATTTTAAATCACGCATTTTGTATTAGCCTAGTACCATGGACCGATCTGGCGACTTTCGCGTCTTTTCCTCTCAGAGGATTGCAAAAAGCGTAGTTATTTTCAAGTGTAGATTTGAGTGGTCGCACTAATGGCATATCGTGTACGTGCCTTTTGGGTGTGGCACCCGAAAATAGATTTTCAAATTGAATTGATAATTGTCTAGCATTACATTAGTTATGAGCTTTACAATGAGATATCGCACGAAAAAAAAATCAGCCGAAAAAAGTAACCAATTAATACATTTCGACTTATTCGAATCAGGGGCCAGCAGGACCTAATTACGCATGCGCCAGTACAGTTTATGAATAATAATAAACACCACACATTCCAAGTGTGTGTGATCTGCGTGCAGACGTTACTGTGCATAATGTGCACGTGTAAGCACGTATATACCAACCTAAAAACAAGCAAACCAAATCTGGATTGACATGAAAAATATAGGCCTAAACAAATGAAAATGAACGGAAATATGACATGTTTTGTTATTCAAAATAATTGAAAAGAATTGACAAGGCTGAATATGAATAAGAAATAATCAAACACCATTATCAAAAGTAAGAAAAAACATTAAACTTTAATGAAAAGTAAAACCTAGTTGAAAAAAATACCTAGACAGAAGTTAAAGGTCGAAGTTAATTTTGACCGTAAAAGCTTTTAAATATAGTTTTCCCGGCGAATTTCCGAAGTTTTCTAATCAGTTTCATTATCAGCCATTCAATTTCGCGCGAGTGTTGCACATGTGGTCAAATTGGGGCTTCTTTTTCGTTTTGGGTTTTTTTTTAGGCAGCCAAGATTTTGCGCCGAATATTCGTTTTCATTTTTGGGCATCCTATTTCGTTTTGGTGCATAGCAGTCTTAAATTAAGTCTTTGCAACCTTTTGACGGTTGACGCATTCAAATTAGCGAACGTCTGTGCGCTTGTAACGTATAACCACGCTTTTCGTTTCTTATTCGTTTATGGGGAATCGCTTTCATCGTTTGGTCATTTAAATTAGTAAAAAAAATTAATCGATACATTTTCCTATTTTTTTCCGAGGTTCATTTCCTCACAAAACTTGATGACTGTAAAATTTACAATGTTACAAAATAACTGATAGGCCCTATGAGGGAAACAAGATGTAACTAATTGAAACAAGATGAAACGAATTAATTAATTGAAGGGACTAAGACAATTTATTTTTCACTGTTTATCTTTTCTACTTGTTTAAACGTTTGAAGAAGGGTCATCTTTACGTTGACGATTTCTTGACGTGCAAGACATCGGAACACTTATGTTTGGCAATGGTTGCACCATACCATCTGGAACATTTCTCTTGAGTTATTTCTTAAATGTTTTCTTGCGCATGTCTGACGGAACACTTACCGTATTCACAGGGTCCATGCAAAGTAAGTCTGCAATGCAAACCTTGAAAATACAACTTTGTGTCACATTTAACCTTATTTGCAAGTTTCATTTTCCATTTTGAGGTGGGTTTTTGGAGCCTTCTCCGTTTTATGCTAATGCAAAGTTTCATATTCATTAGATAACCTGTGATGGCATTCCGGGCATGATTAATGTTACACAACTATTTCAGCAAACAAAGTTGCTAGAATTTTGGATGTTTTGCTGTCATAAATTTCTTTTATTTAGTGATTATATGATGTGTCAGTATGGCAGTAAGCCAACGACCAACAACGCGATACTTTTAAAATGAATGCATCTTTGATACGGACGAGTGAAGCTAAAAGGCGATAGAATGCTTGGATAGTGAAATTGAATGATTCTTTTTGATTGTCGAATGTCGATCTGCGTGATCTTTCAATTTCAATTTAAATCGAACGAGCCAGGCGTTAAATTGAATGAAAGCTTGGTGAAATTGGCCGGGAAAACCTATATAAATTACAAGCATCATAGCATACAGTCAGCTCGCAAGCAATTAAAACGAAATCGATAGGAAACTGGGGTAACAAGATGGTATATGAAGAAAATTTAAAAAAAGAGTCTAAAATATGACACAGACACAGATGATGAAGGAAAACTACATCGTAAAAAAAAGTCATGTACAGCAATTTATGAAATTGAATGCACCATAACGAATCATGCATTCGAACGAACATATTGTTGATTAACAAAGGATATTGAGTTTATGCGCATGTGAATTTTTGCTTGGCCTTCATCAAGATCTTCATTCAGATGAATAACAACATGTAGAAAGGAAAGACTACGATACGAGCCAATACGGCGAATTATGTATTTGACGGTTATGAAAGATTGAACGTAGTGCAGTATTATTCCATCAACCATTTCGATAAAAATATGAATTGAAAACATTTTTTTTATTCAGCCAAATAGGCTTAGCTATTGAAAGATTGAAATTAACAACACAGGGAAGGGTCGAACTCTTCCCTTATTTTCTTTTTCAACAAATATCCGTGGAGTTTCACAATGTCGCCGACACGTGTTATGCCGTTCATTATATTGAAGTTGGTGTATGCGTGCTTTGTGTGTGTGGAAACTTGATAAATGGATTTTTAAATTGAATTGATAATTTTCTAGCATTACATTAGTTATAAACTTTCGAATGAGAAATAGCACGAAAAAAAATTGGCCCATGACGGGCAATCAATTATTAATTTCAACTTTTGAATGAGCGGGACGCTTCTAATTCGTTCTGAATAGTGTGCGCAATTTCTGAACTGGAGCGCGCCATTTAAAACCAATTTTTAAAACCATATAAAAGCCTGCAAAAACAAACAAGCAAATGTATTCGTTACAGGACATATATTCCATTACATTTCGTTCTGAAAAGAAAATCGCATTTTTTAAAAAGCGCGTATATAACAACTTTAAATGTTTCATGTTTGTTTGTTGTCGCAAAATCTCACTGATCTGTTTGTTTTAATTTGCAAGTTCTTTGCTGAGGGGTGGCATTTTCTGTGCAGTTTAGTTGTATTCTTACTACAATCTGGGTCAGACTCTCAATTTACATGCAAGATCCTTGAAGAATGATCAAAAACAAAGACAGGGACCTTATTCGACTTGGTAATTATTTTGAAGTGTAAAGGTTAAGATAGTATGTTAATATTTTTGTCATGTTTTCATTCAGAGAACCGCTATTACAGTGGAACTCCCCACAACGACATTGATGCCAACCACACTGGGTAAGTTTCATTGGTTTCGAGTGATCGGAGTCGCTTTGAAGAAAATGGAATCCGATGTGATTAACTGCATTTGGAAAAAATAAGTGGTACAATTTTCTACATGAACTCAGCACATATGAAGCTCAGTAAGACGTGTATTGTTTTTTGTTTTCATTTCCGAACGTCTACAATGGTACTGAGTGTAAAACTTTGTGAAATACGCACATGATGAGAACAGTTTTGAGCTTTGATTTGTGCAACAAAAGTTAATCAAATGACGGCTGAACTAAAAATCACCAGAAATTACAGAGGCTCGCTAATGAAACAACAAAGTCTCAATCTGAACCACTAGTAAAAACGTGTGTCAACTATTTCTTCGGCGGGACAAATAATCATTTCTGGACCAATATTACATTTGGTGTTATTTTTTGTCTGACTTAGCTGCCTGAGCTGAACAGAAATAAAGACGGAAAGAATAATTCAAATAAAAAAGAAAGAAAACAAACTCTAGGTTTTCATATCATGGAATTGAGTTCAGACCGATTCCTGCAGTAAATTAAAGAATGGAATTCACTTGGTATCTCGTACCAAACCATGACCCTCCCAGTTCGTTTCGCGAGTTTTCAATAACCGTACCGAGATCTTCTCGCGAGTTCACACGCTGTGTCTATTCAGTGTTGTCCATCACAAGTTCTCACAACTCCATCACAAGTCCGTCACAAACACCCGAGTCTCTAATTATGTCAAAAGCTATGTACGTGAAATGTGAACAAAGGGATTCCTTTGTCGTTCATCTGTTGTTACTTGTGACGGGGTCTACCTGATGTTCATCAATACCTATGTTCCCCAATACCTATGTTCCCCAAAATCCTTACAGGGTTAAGGTTAGATGGTTAGGGTTATAGGGTTAGGGAACATAGGTATTGGAGAACATAGGTATTGGGGAACATAGCTACGCACCCCTTGTGACCGGACTTGTGATCGAATATCTAATCGCCTATAACATTGCTCATGTTGACAGAACCCAACGAGTGTGACAGTGACCCTTGCCAGAACGGAGCCGCTTGTAACGACGGCCCGGACATGTTCACTTGTGACTGCGCCCCTGGGTACGAGGGAACCACATGCAACACAAGTGAGTAGGATACTTTTCGTTACCGTGACGTGAGTCTGAAGAATATCACGACATCAATTCCATCTAAACTAATTACATTATTTTCGTGTATGAACTCATAACGTACACATTCAACAAATAGACAAGTATTCTCTTTACATGATTCATTTTTTTGTACAGATACTGACGAGTGTGGCAGTAACCCGTGTCAAAATGGCGCTAATTGTGTGGATGCCGTCAACGAGTATGCATGCACGTGTCTCGCAGGCTATGATGGCGTACACTGCGAAACAAGTGAGTTCACGATTTATACGAAATGTAGACTGTTTGCAGTGCCGCAGCTATCTTGGAGGTGTCTGCTTTTGCTCAGCAGGGATATCACTGATCTGTATTGTACTGACTGGATAGCGCTTTAGGCCGTGGGGGATGAAGTCACTGGACGCCATTTTGAAGCTCCCTTTGGCCAAGTAAAAGTATATGCAAAGTCATAAAATAAATTTAAATATTTGAAAAAATATTAACATGATTAAATTAACTCTGTTGGCAAAATGAATAAATAAAAACGTGTCCAAAATCGTTTCCCTAATGTAATCATGTGCTTTTTATATACGGATCCGTGCGTTGTGGAGCTTTTTAGGGAGCTTCAAAATGACCAGCGCCAGTGTGTGAGCGCGAGGGCGACACGGTCTTCTTGTGCACAAACATAGGTCGAAGCCAACCTCGCCCCCAGGGTGTCGAGCAGTACGCGCCCACCACTACCTGCTCTCTCACCCTGGTATTGGATCATTTGCATGTGCAAAATTTTTGCGCACGTATGCAAATGAGGAATAGTCTGGTGCCTGCTTGTACGTTAGCGTTTGTTTTTGTATGCGATGTCTGGGGTAAAAACACTATCAATTCGTCGCGCCGTGAGTTACGAAAACACGATTGTTTTCGACTGAGTTAAAATGTTACAATCTTATCCCGAAAACACGTCATGCACGTTGGAAATAACACGATATAAATCCATTACTAAAGTAAGCACTGGGGACGAGGTTGAGGTCGAAGCACTATCTAGTTAATGAATAAGTGGGTTCGGTGTCTCTGTGAAGTATTCCAGGTCAAAGGTTATTCGGGATAAAATCGCTGACGTAATGATGTGCGATGTTACGCAGGCACGAGCGCCGTGCGCCCGGCCGTCTACGCGCGCGTTCTATACGCCTTTGATTATCCCGAATGACCCGTGACCCATATCATTGTGCGCATGCGCAGTTGAAAAACCAAACTGGCCTGGTGACATAACAAAACACACCTCAAAGATGACTGCTGTATGCAATCGATCTATTGACAATAATAAATAAGTAATAAATACAAACAAATAACAAACTTGTATTCTTTGATGCATTTATGACAGACATCAACGAATGTGCTAGCAGCCCTTGTCAAAATGGCGTCTGCAATGATGGAGTCAATAGCTACACTTGCACTTGTTCTGCTGGATATGAAGGGACTTTATGTAACACGAGTAAGACCTAACATTACTTCCGTACATTCTTGGACATCAAACAAAATCTTGTTCTCCGTATAATCATTTAGCCATCCACAGCCATACTACATGTACAAAAGACAGTGATAAAGCTTGTGGTGTATGTCATTCAGGGTCCATGTCATTATAGGGGCAGGTGGTAAAAACAACATGTATGGTTCTGAGTGTGCCCCTTTGAATAGGGCGCCCTCTTAAGGACAGGTCTTACGCCCTCTGTGATACCCCCAGATACAAAGGACTGCCATTGTCATTGGATTTTTTAATTTAGAAAAAAAAATCATTGACGATGAACTGTGCAAAACATCTACACATTAAAAGCAATGCGATTTAAGGAACATTCCAATTGTAATAAATCTGTGAATGAAAAAGATATGTAAATTGATTATGTTATGAGCATACTGCATCCTTGTCAACTTCAGAGAGATTTATTCCACTCACTGTTGTAGAATGGTTGTCAACACAAACTGAACACAGGAAGCAGTATCAATCAAGAAAAGTATTATGTTTAAACCAAACAAAGAGAATTAGTATTGTGGAATAATTGTTTGGTGTAATGTTCGTCTTTATGGCAGACACCAATGAATGTGCTAGCAGCCCTTGTCAAAATGGCGTCTGCAACGATGCAGTCAACAGCTACACTTGCACGTGCACTTCTGGATACGGAGGAACCTTGTGTGATACAAGTAAGACCCAATTGAACTTCCATATTTTTTATTACAGCAAATCGAAATGTTGCACTCCCTAAACTAACCATATTAATCTTAAGTGTGCCAGTAGTTGACTTCAATGAGTGGACTACTCTGTAGTGAGTTGTGGAGTGAAAGATACGTGTAACATTAATTAGAATCAGACAATCAAGAGGTTGGTATGGATGGCTAACATCCCCTCCATCACCACCACAAGTACCACCGCCAAAACAAACCTCTTTACAAATTGGACCAAATCCAAAGTTCTCTGAATAACGTCATCGCTCACATTGTGCACATTGATTCATTGCTCCAAGTTTTTGGAGACTGCATTGTCTCTTCTACCCCCCCCACCCCCCGCCCCCTCGAAAAATCTTGGACTTCAACACCACCAAGACACCCCTTTGGAAATCAAGGGGGAAAAACAAGCGAAATTTGAAAAGTATTCTAAAACGCGTCGGTTTACTCGGTGTATTCTTCTCTGAATTTATGACAGACATCAACGAATGTGCTAGCAGCCCTTGTCAACATGGCGCCTGCAATGACGGAGTCAACAGCTACACTTGCACCTGTTCTGCTGGATATGAAGGAACTTTATGTAACACGAGTAAGACCTAACATTACTTCCGTACATTCTTGGACATCAAACAATATCTTGTTCTCCATAATCATTTAACCATCCACAGCCATACCACATGTACAAAAGACAGTGATAAAGCTTGTGGTGTGTGTCATTCAGGGTCCATGTCATTATGGGGTCGGGCGGTAAGAATGACATGAATGGTTGTACCGTGAGTGTGACCCTTGTATAGGGCGCCCTCTTGAGGGCAGGTCTCACGCCCTCAGTGATACGCATGAGAAGATACATAAAACTGCCATTGTCACTTGGTTTTAGAAATAAAAAAGCGACTTCGTTGACGGAGTTATGTCCAAACAATCTGCTCATAAAAAGCAGTGAGATTTAATTCCAATTTTAATAAGGCTGTGAACGAGAAAGAAGTGTAAATTGATTTAAAATTTATGTTAGGAGCTTACTGCATCGTCGTCAACCATTAGAAAGATTTATTTCACTAACTGGTTAGAATATTATTCTGCCATCACAAACCGAGCACAGCAAGCAATATCAATCAAGAAAAGTATTATGCTGACACCAAACAAAGAGTGTTATGCAATAATATGTTTGTGTAATGTTCCGTCTTTATGGCAGACACCAATGAATGTGCTAGCAGCCCTTGTCAAAATGGCGTCTGCAACGATGCAGTCAACAGCTACACTTGCACGTGCACTTCTGGATACGGAGGAACCTTCTGTGATACAAGTAAGACCCAATTTGGGCGATTCACAATGCAGTGCGCCACCACGAGTTTCCCATGGAGAGTCCATTTTTCAAGGTTACGGTCGACAAAACATGACCCATTTGAATGAGTGTTAGAAGGCAACCTGAGCTCATTTGTTTTAGATTGGGGCATAGCGTTCTGCGCCTTACCAAAAACACCATATTGATAAAAGGAAAAGGAAAGGGCAAACATATACTAGAATTATACGCTTACGAAACTACTGACCGGAAAAAAACTAACAGTTTTAAAAGTCCTGCGCTGTGAATTTGTAAACTATCTTTCACAAGAGCACTGGAAAAAATGAGCTCTCCGTGGCAAACTCTTGGTGGCGTACTGCATAGTGAATCGTCCGAATTGAACTTCAGTATTTTTTGACAGCAAATTGAAATGTTGCACTCACTGAAATAAACATCATTAATCCTAAGTGTGCCAGTAGTGGACTCCATTGAGTGGACTACTCCGTGGTGAGTTGTGAGTGAAAGATCTGTGTAACAATAATAAGCCTCTGTATCAATGACGTCATATGGTGCTCAGTGGATCGTGGGCCCCCACTGGCTCCATAGGAAAGTGCACATGTAAACAAAGTGTGACGTCATTAGTACAGAGGCTTATTGGAATCAGACAATCAGGAGGTTGGTATGGATGGCTAACCATCCCCTCCACCACGACAAAAAAAACGACCATTGTTAATTTTTTACATATTGGACCAAATTCCAAGTTCCCTGAATAACGTTACCACTCAATATTGTGCATTTTTATTAATTGCTTCAAGCTTTTTTTGTGTTTTATGTAAAGATTGCACTGTCTCTTGTCCCCCGAAATATCTTGGACTTCAACCCTCCTAGACACCCCTTGGATAACCCTTGGAGAAAACAAGCGATCGTTCCCGTTTTTGTGGGAGACAAAGATTTATCCAAAGGGACATTTTTTTTACTCACCCTGTATGCATACGTATTTCAAGCCGTGTGTATTAAATGTCATATACACATTCTGTGTGTGACACAAACACACAACATCAATACACACGTCCGTGTTTGTCACACGTCCGCAGAGTGCACTACAATACACCTCATTACAATTAATTAAACGAGAAAAAGTTAGTGTTTGTTTCATTTGATACTTGCAGTATCAATCCGTTTGGTGAATGGTCCGACGTCAAACGAAGGCAGGGTGGAGGTGTGGCACAGTGGCGCCTGGGGCACCGTGTGTGATGATTTTTGGGACTTGAACGACGCCAATGTCGCCTGTCGTCAGTTGGGCTACCCGTATGCGACAAACGCCTACATCTCAGCTACCCACGGTGCCGGATCCGGGCCGATCCACCTCGATGATGCAAGCTGCACTGGTACTGAAGTTCGTCTTGGCAGTTGTCCACATAACGGATGGGATGTGCACAACTGCAACCATAACGAAGATGCCAGCCTGAAGTGTTATCCAGGTACTAGCAGTTATCATAGATTTAAGGAATCTCCTCATTTATCACAGTCCAAGCGTAACAATACCAGATTTCTTTTTTCCTAGTTATTATTAACGCTACTCTCTTTTCCTTGTGGAAGCCAAGCCGGTTGTGCATGGTTTAGTTGTGTTTTAGTGGAGTCTAGTCCTTTCCAAGGGCGGATCCAGGGGGGAGGGCAACGGGGGCCATGCCCCCCCCCCCCCGCAAAAAAAAACCGAACCCAATTTTGTTTTAAGTGACGTCGCAATAAAGGCAGGCACTGCGTACACCATCATCTTTAAAAAAAAAAAAAAAGAATACAAAAAACATTCGGGGCCGCCCCGAACCCCACGCCGTAATATTTTTGGACCCACTTTTTGGGGGACCAAATTTTTTTGGCCCCCCCCCCCAATTTTTGTGTGTGTTCTGGATCCGCCCTTGGTCCTTACAAGTCATACAGACATTCATTTGTCATGGGTCATCTCCTGTTATTTGTGGCTGGGCTTGTGTAAGTACTTGTGATTTACTTTTGACTTGACTTGTGATGGACTTGATCACAACACTGTTAAAAAGGTGAATATTTGTCCGATGGCGTATAACCAACTGGCTCTGAGGAACATAAATTATGGTATAAATCTCCACTATGTTTAATTCATGACAGGGATTCGTCTGGTGAATGGTCCACTGCCCAACGAGGGCCGTGTGGAGGTCTACCACAACGGAGCCTGGGGAACGGTCTGCGATGACTATTGGGATATCAACGACGGTCACGTAGCCTGCCGTCAACTGGGCTACCCGTCTGCCGCCCAGATCCTGAACTGGGCTCACTACGGGGCTGGAACGGGGGCTATACACCTGGATGACATGATGTGTACCGGCAGCGAGGCTAGCTTAGGAGCTTGCAGCCATCGTGGATGGGGTTCTCATAACTGCGGCCACAGCGAAGATGCAGGTGTCAAGTGCAACCTAACCTAAGAACTAAGTTAATTTCAAGAGTATACGGTCAATCAAGAGTGAAGGGAAAAACGAGGGCCACAATGCACCAAGTGTGCCCCCACGCGTATAGAGCATTACACATTTTGAAGTTGTTACTATAGGTTTCCCCGGCTATTTTAAAACATTTTTCATTCATCGTGTCGAGAATATTCGTCATTACAGATCAAATTCGTTTAGGCTGTGGTGGAATGGCAGCATTCAGAGATCGAATTCGTCTTTTTATCAATCGATTTAAAACTTGTATAAAGTAAATTAGTCAGGTGTGTTCTAGAGAATTTTCCTTGTGTCCCCAAGCACAATTTGGCACATTCGCTGGCATGATATTTCGGACCAAAGCAGAGTACTGTTATCAAAGAAGAGTTACCAAAAAAAGTAGATCAACAACATTATCTCAAAAATATAGACGCACTTGGAGCTAAGCCCCATTGTATGACAGTGAGGATTTTTCTTTATGACAATAAAGTTAGTTTGATATTGGCCATTGGACATTCACATTCGTTTATATAGGGAAGTTCTATTTTGTTGTTTGGATTTGGACATTGGGCACTCAAATAGGTTTGTATAGTGAATATCCATTTATTATTTTGGATATTGGACATTGGACATTCACATACGTTTGTACAGTGAATGTCCATATTTTTTTAAAGTCTGGGAGGAGGCGGGATAAAGATGCACCCCTGCCGTAGTCTGGTTCCCTGACCTGACAATTTCTCCCGACGCCCAGACGTCTAAATTGTAGGCCAGGCAGCCTTCGCGGCTAAAAATAAATATGACGACATTGACGGCCCTTTTTCAAAGCGAGCGGTTTCGTTTCCGAATTCCTTTTATCACTTATAGCTTTTAATGTTCCGATCAAATTTTTCAAAAACATTACCTGCTTCATATGTTATACAGTTTGATATTTCGACGATAAGAAAACATTGACGAAGGTCGACTCGTAATCTTTAAAGTTAGGGAACCACATATCATCTTAGCAGGCGAAGCCAAAATGGAGACCACGCCGAGTTTTGTAAAATCCCGGTAACCATTCCCGATTCAAATACGCAGCAAAGCTCGCCCCTTTTTTGATGCAATTTATGAATATTAATTATCAACTTAGTTTTTAAATTTTTAATAAGCAAGTTAGTTAAAAAAGAACCTATTTTGTACCCAGACCAGAAATAGCGATAGTGTTGTTTTGCAATGCTGCTTTATTTTGAAATACTGCATTATTTTGCAATAATAGGCCTATATCGCGTTATATTGCAATATTATTGCGGTGGTTTTTTTTCACAGTATTATCACATTTTTTCTCAATAACTATCGCTTTTTCCCCGCAATATTGCGAAAATAGCAATAATTACCGGTATTGCAAACAAATGTAATAATGTTTCAAAATAAACGCGATATATAATTGCAACGCAATAGTTTAATTTGCAAAATAATACACGATAGTAAATAAGCTATCTGAGGATTGAAAAAAAAATACGTTTCTTGACAATACCATTGCTTTAATTTGAAAAATTATTGCCTTATTTCGCAAAATTACGACATTATTTCGCCAAACTATTGTGTAATCTCACAAAACTAAGTTAGTTTTTTTTTCGCTTTAAAAACCTGGCACGAACCGGCTTTCGTTAGCTGTAAGGACGTGCTTGACGGGAATGTTGCACTTTTTGCCGCTGACCAATATAGCGCAGCGTTATTTTCGCGTGGGACGGCCCGGTCTTGTACGCACAACGGTGAAATCATTTATGCCGGCGTTGATGGCACCCCAAAGCACACGGTTATTTCTTGGCACTCGTGCGAAAAGGAGCCCTGCTGATTTCCTTAGATCTCGTACGCAAGGGACGAAGGCAATTTTGAAAGATTTTTTATTTTGTACCCCAAAAAAACCCCACTTAGACCTGAAAGTAATACATATGACGATTTCAGGGATTTTTCCAAATACAAATGAGATAAATCCAGGAGAAATTGAGAGAAAATGACAAACTGTTCGGACCCCTGTACATTTTCAAATTTCAATGGACCGCTTTCACTTTTTGCCTTCTGGCCCATTTATGCTCTTGCGTGCATGAATTTGAATTTATTAGTGAACTGTGAACTGGTCTATTGCGTTCTGAATTTCTTTTGGAAGTTGTTGCTGAAATCACAACTCATCTTTGGGAACCTGATATTATTTAACTGCCAAATTTTGTTGAGTGTGGATAACTTTTGACGTATAGAGTGAATGTATTAGATTATGCTAATTTTCTGGTAGTTGTAATCGTGTTCTTTTTTCCTTTACACGCGGATTGTATTTTGCCGGATGTAAAGCCATATATTTGATTCGAGTCAAGTTCATTTTGATGTCACGGTTACGTGTAGGGTTAAAACACTGGGCCTACATTCGGCATAATATACAACAATTTACAGACATTGTTTTGTTAATATTATGGCAGAAATATTCACATGTAATGACCATGATTATAAACAAATATTAATTGTGTTTGATAATTTGTATGGAGTTAAATCAACTACATAGGCCTAATGGGCTTCTTTTACTTAAGTGTATGCACGGCATGGTTGCAGTAATGTGGTTGCAGTGTTGCACATGCTGTAGACAGTAAACAATATACTTGTCTCAAGGCGGCATTTGAGTCTCGTTTCGAGTCGGATCCACCACACTGATAACTATGTTGCTTTACAGTTACATCATTGCAACACAAGAAGCCTTACTGTCATCTTGTAATGCTAATAGCAAGTTCCCGTAAAACACTTTTTAATTAAGGTACGGGTTGACTTTGCACATTATTCTGAAATTGTAAAATTTGTATAAGTTTATTTTTGTCTTTTAACTGTAAAATCTGGTTTTAAAGTCTTTGACTAGAATCACAAAACTATTCATTCTTTGCCATTGTGATGTGCTTGACACTCTTGTTGAAGATATAATTTTTTTTGCAATGTACTTGTTGACATTGAAATGTATTTCGTAATTATTAATTATGATTCATTTATTTTCTTTTATGAAGTGTATTTTGCCCATGCATTTCGGCTGTATTTTGCCCTTACATTTTAGGCTGTTCTTTGCCCTTGCATTTTGCGGCTGTAGTTTGCCCTTGCATTTAGGCCATACTTCGCCTTTTGCAACGCAATCTAATATTGTTCCTTATCGAACTACAGACATTTGATCACTTAATAATACAGTGTCGTTGGACAAATTTCTGATTTCTCACTCTTGTTTTATTACCATTTTAATCTTTGTATGTGAAACTAGTGAAGCCCGGTTCATACTTCATGCGAATGCGAATGCAAAGAGAATTTGGCGCCAAGAAACGTTCGCTGCGAAATTCGCCCGAGTTGAAATGTGTTCAACTTTTACGAATTCGCAGCGCGAATACTTGCCATGACGTCACCAATTCGCGTCCGCTTTCGCTTTCGCGCCGAGTATGAACCGGGCTTGAATTTATTTTGTGGTCTCTTTAAAATCTCTTGCGATTCACTCGAACTTAACAAGCCTATTAGCTCTTCATTTGGACTTAGTCTGGGTTTTTTTTTTCACCACTTGGTTCAAATAATGCTCTCCTATCATTGGTTTACAATGTCATTGCTAATGTCCTTTTTTTTTTAAAGTATGCACAACTTTTGAACGCAATTCAGGTTTTGGCTGCTACGGTCGAATGGTATAATAAACTTTTTCCCAATTCAAATTTAAATAATGATGAGGTTATCATAATTGTTTCCAGAATTTTATAAACTGTATACATTTTGTTTTTCTCCACTGAATTTTCTTCATTTTGTGTTCACATATATAACAAGGCATGATGACTTGACAAAAAAAATCAGCTAAAAGCGGAAGAACCCTATATGTTATGTTGATCAACAAACAGGGACTTAGACATCAAGTCTTATAGTTTCTTTCTTTTACTTTTTTAAATGATCATCAAAAAGTGTGTTCTCCCTTTTAAGGGAAACATTCTTCTCGAAGCAACAGGTTGGTGTGTTGGTGGAAAGAAGATCGTCGCTAATTCATCTTAGTGAAAGTTGTATTCATTAAAAAATAATACATAATAATTATTTGTGTTTAATTTGGCAAGAAATATTAAATTAATGGTATCGCACTGATTTAAATTTCGTTGAACACTCGTATAAGTAGGCCTATAGCGTAACGTAAGAGGGGGCATATGCCCCTCCTCCCCCGGCTGCCCGCTGGCCTTGTCCAAACCCATCGAATGCCCCTCTAGAAAATGAGGTCCCATTCTCACAAAGGTGCGCCCTCACTTCCCTGAAAATTATGCCACTGCTTTCGAATGGAGAGGGTTCATCATCATGTTGTTTTGATTCAGCATTTCAACCCAACCGAGAGGGCGCTACTTGATTCGCAAAACGAAGAAAGAGGGCGCCGTGTCGCTCTCTACGTTATAGACCCAACCACTTTAAGTGAAATTCCTGCATGCCGTGCGTGGCACGTCGACATAAATACCTAGACATCATCAATCACTGAACAGCTCTTTATTTTTGCTGCACGCCCTCCGTTTTCCGAGCATATACTTAAACGATTGATTTCTCCTGTCAGATCGTGCTGGCTGCGAGATGTGAGCTTTGGCTGCGTTCCACTTTCCCGCTATAGTGTTACGAAATTTTCCTGATCGTTTTTTCCCCCACAGTGTTCCTGAAAATTCTACTGTATGTAACTGATCAGTTTTCGTCACAACAGGCAACTTGATTGAGTAAAATGGAGACGAATAGAAGTCCATTCGGCAATGAGTAAAACGAATTCCAGTTAAAAATTAATCGACAATTGAGCAAAACAGAGTTGCTTATTAGACCTGATGATCAATCAAATAGCGGTCAAAATAATTGCAAGTAACTTACCGGGTTCCGTGACTGTTTGCTTCGCGTGCACCGGAAGTCATTTAATATTTTACTGCCGAAAGACCTGCCGTTTCAAGTTGTTTACAAACATTGAGTACCATTTTGTGTGGCTGCCATTCTAGTTCAACGGCGGTTGGTGACAGGTTCTTCCCGCAACTATTAAAGGGGGATATCCTGCACAGCTTTGTTAAAAGTTGCGTATTATTTTTTTAAACCCTAGGGATTATTCTATATTTTTGCTGGTTGACAAAATTAGTGATGAAATAAAGGGAAATTCTAAGTTGAATTCTCCTTAAAGGAAGATGTTACTGTTTTGCGCCAGAAGCGCACTTTATTGACAGCAATCGCAAAATGACAGGCAAAATTACGTGTTCCGTGTATTGATGTCCATTGCTGATCATTGTTGACTTTCTAATCCAATTATGGTTTGATATTAGCAAGTTTTGAAACGATAACTGAAAAGAAACCTTCAATCCAGTACCTAAATATAAAATGGTGCTTGAAATTTGTGTCAGCATACCTATATAAATTTATCAAAATAATGTACAAAAACCCAGTTTCCTGCCGCGGTTCATAGTCTAGTCATATACAAACATTATAGTGATAGTATTAAAGATCCAAGCAATGTTTACAAGAAGGCAGAGGAAACCAAGAGAGAGTTTGATCGTCATAGAAGAGTTCAAGTTGAAGACAAACAAGGGAAAGCGAAAGCCCCGTGGCGCTAGTTTAGATTCCCGCGTTGTGTGAAGGCTTCAAGAGATCTGTCTCTGTGGGAAACTAACAACAGTGACATGTCATTGACCTTTCTCGCTTCGGCCATGGTAACACATCGACAACCGTTGATATCTACTCGTCAGTCAGTCCGTTATCCCATAGAGCTCTAGGACCCAACGGGACTAGGACCGGACAGTGTAAACAACCACTGAATCACCCCCAAAAGGCGCCATGTTCAGCCAAAGACTCATCATGGCTCAATGCAGTGGTTATTAGACAGACACTGCATGTCAACCTGTTCGAGATTTGTCAACAGCACGCGTACGACGCAATGATGAGGCATTGGATGTAAGGATTTTGAACTCTGTGGTTTTACTAGAAGCTGCGTTCCGCTACCGAGTGCGTGCGGCCGTTCTGTGAATTCACTTTCTGACGTCAGATATGTCCGTTAATATTAACAGGGAAGTTATTTTTAATTTGCTCCGTGACAATAGCGGCGGATTCCAATCAAACCTATTAGCAATTGAGGAAGTGTGTTCTGTGTGGCGTTGTCCGAATACATGTAGCTTAATTCGAGTCTCTGGGTTTTTAAAGCCACATGGAACGTAAGGCGATCATTGAAAGGTGTACTTTCTTCTCATCGGGACGATAGAGGATGGCGGAAGGAATGGATGTTCAAACCACGATGGCAAGTGGCATGACCACAGGGACTCCGTATACTATCACCGTAGTCTCGGTCGTCAAGGCCTGCCTCTTAGCCGTGACGACCACCCTTATTCTCCTTGGCAACTCTCTGTGCTTGATCGTTCTACGCTACACACACGATGGTGTCAGCCCCGTCACCAAACTGTTTCTGATCTCGCTGACCATCAGTGATCTGTTGGTTGGTGTGCTCGTCGGTGTGCCTGTGGTGGGTTCCACGGCCCTGCAGAGTTGGCCTTACGGGGACGCCTACTGCACGGTGGTCGCCATGTGCCACGCCTTGTACTTCAACGCTGGCATGTCCGTGTTGGCCATCAACATCGAGCGATACATCGCGGTGATTTGGCCATTGAGATACCCATCCATAGTTACCATGACAAGGGCGGCCATTGCGGAGGTCTGCATCATCTGTATACTGGTAGTGTGGACCTTACTGTACGTACTTATTCCTAACCGGTCAGCTTTCTACTATAATAACTTCAACTTGTGCTTCATCGACGCTGATGCGGGGGATGATGTGATGGGCCAACTCGGCATGACTCTCTTCATAGCTCTACCGATGCTGATAACGGTCATGCTGCATATCAGGTTGTTCTTCCTGGCCACTCGCCACGCCTCCAAAGTCGGTAACATAACTTTAGGAGATATAAATTCGACATCGGGGGCAAGTCAGAACTCGGAGGGCGATGTGGAGCAGCGAGCTCAGTCATCCCCACCGACGCAACGACGCGAAGGGCGCCAGCGGGTCAACTCGGACCGTCCCAGCCCCGAGACCAAAGCAGCTCGCACTTTTTTCATCATGGCCCTCGTCGCAGCTATCTCTTGGACGCCTTACTACACCACCATTTCGTGGGAAAACTTTCGCGAAGAAGAGGTTCCTGAGGCCTTGGCCTTCGTGGCCCAGATTCTTCTACTCCTCAACAGTCTGTGGAATGTCGTCATATATTATGCAAGGAACGACGCCTTCAGGAAGACGGCTAACAGACTGCTGGGCTGCTGTTTTCGAGTTCACTCTACGAATGGAGAAGTGCTCATACCTTGAAGCTTAGAGAGTGCATGGATGCATTGACCGTGATAAAGAGGTACGGGTAACTCGTGAAAATAAAACACTCAGGCTGATCTCGTTTCGCCTGAATCAACTTCGAGTTTCATAAATGTCAAGGAGGAGAGTCGATGCAATTTTAATGGAGTCGATTCTTGAGGCTTGTTTATGCTGTGTGATATCGACTCGTGATGAAGTCTGCTTGACTCAGCAAGGTTTAGAGGTTCGATCGATGTCGAGACCAGTCTGGGCGATTCTGAATGACTTAACTCGAATCGAAACATGATATGTGTACATTTTGTGTTTTCTACAGTGGAGTTGAGGTACACCCGGGTCAAATTAATTCAGGTCAGGTCAGTCAGGAGATTAACTGGGGTCAGTTGAGAGGTCTGCTAAAGTTAATTAGAGTCAAGTTTTGAGGTATGCTCGAGTCATCCTTATAGTTACGATGTCTATCCGACCTTTAATTGAGAATGCAAGTTGACCTCAAAATACTGCAGATTGATGACAGAAATAAAAGTCTTCAATTTTAATACCTCAATTCTGATCAATCGATCGTGCATATTCCAATTGGATTAAGAGACTGGTCAGTGTTTTGTAATAATGTCTACGTAATAATTGTACATAACAAATGAACGTGGATTTGCAATCTCTGTTCATGAAGTCTGACCCAGATGTTTGCATCGTTAGGTCTTATCAACTAGAGCTACGTCATGGGGTGTCGTGTCGTGTTGAGCAAAGATTATTAAAGGGTTCATGACATGGCGTTTAGGCCAAAAAAAAAATTAAGTCGGTCTCTGGTCAGCGCGCGCGTCGATTTTAAGCATGCGCGTCGATCTTTTTTTTTCCAAAATGTTCCGCAGTAGCTCCAACAGTGCCCTCTATTTCCGCACCTCCTCATTTTTTTTTTACCAAAGAGCACCAAGGAATAAGAAACTGCCCCAAGGCAAATGATCGAAAGCACCAAGGCAAATTATGGAGGCCACCAATGTACATGAGGACACCAAAAAAGCAAAATAGTACCCACCTTGTCTGTACAATCCAAGCTGAAGAAAAAAAAAAAAGGAAAAAAAAAAAAGAAAGCCGCGTGGCCGCGTCAATTCCGGAACTTTGGTCTGACCAGAGACCGAATATTTTTTTTTTTGGCCTTACATTGGAACATATTTTGTGCAAATGTCGGTATCTCTGAAGTATATAAAAACTATTAGACACCACTTTTTGCTTAACATTTTGCAGAGTGCACTTTTGTTATGGTAAATCATTAATGTTCCTTGCTTTTCCTCACAACAGAGGGCGCTAACACTGTGATGTCACTTGAGTAACACACTCTTAAGTCAGAGGTTTCTGTTCCAAAAGGGAACCCTAAACTTTGATCAAGTTCGTTCATTGAGTTACTATGCTGTTGTGAAACCACAATGAACAACAATGAATCATCAAAGGCAGAAAATCTAAATCTTTCAAAAATTGAAAAAAAATATGGCAGCCTTTGATGCTGAAGAAGCTGCAACACTGAAGTTCCTGTCTTGAATGACGTTACATAAAAACCATGAAAGCAGAAAAACACCCTTTTAAATTTCAATAAAAATGTGGAAAATAAAGTGAAATGGGACACAAAGGTGCATTCCGAAGACTCCCTTTAAAAGTTAGTACACGGCCTTTATATGCTCAAGCGAAGTAGCTGATTATGCTTTACTCATAAGATTAGTTTTGTTGAAGATTCCTCTTTCTCCACGTTGAACAAATGATTTTATTGTCCAGTTTAGTCTTTACAAAATGTGGGAGTTACGCAGTGATGTTTTTTTCACCAAAAAAATGAATTTGTAAATTTGTGATGTAAATCTAGCGAAATTATTGTGCTCTTGTGTTACATACATACCGAGGAAAGAAACACAGAGAGAGAACAACAGATTCTTTGTTGTCCCCGAGAGTGTATATTTTTGTAACGTACAAGTCGGTTATTGTCAAACGGTACCACAGAAGGGAAATTCTATAGAGAAGGGATAAGGGGAGAACAATGCAAGTAACCCCATTAAAGCCCGAGTCCATCATTTGCAGCTGTCCAAAAAGTAGCTAGCGTAGTTATTGTTGAAAAACATACTTGGTTGAAAGATAGTAAAGGGACTAAATTCCCTGTGAAATTGTTCTTTCAGGCAAGCTGTCATTTTGAAGAAATCAACGAAAGAAGGCCTTTCCAACGGTGCTTCTTAAGACGCATTGTAGGAAAATTTAAATTAGTAGTTCGTTTTGTTATGCAGCGAAGCGTGCGCAATAATTGGCACGACGTACACGCACCCCCGGTTGCTATAATTCGTCGGATCAGTGCGCGACATAGCGTAGCTGCATTCGGCTTAGCGAGAATGTGTCTCGGACGCTGAATTCAGGCGCAATTCAAAACATGATTCAGCATCTTTTGATTTGAAATCGAGATCCTAGCATGATGTTTTTCTAGAAATATACAGCTGAAACTGAGCTGAAACTTCATCAGGTTAGTTGTTCAGCACCCTTCTTTAGATTTTGAGCACTTTTGTTGCTTCAAACGAACAAAATGCACAAATTACAAATGATGGACTATAACTTTAACCCCATATGTACGACTGTATGTATTTCACTCATTTTATATCGTGGATCTTGTAGCCTATAACTGTTAGTTGCTGGAACTGCACAAAATGTAATAGTTTTGCACTTCTTCGTGTTAAATGGGACAATTTGATAGCAGTGAGGATCAAAACGATATGGGAAAGACACTGTTTATGAATTGAAAGGAATTAAGAAATAATGCCTGCTGTTAATTCTTAAGGGTTTAACACTAACTATAACAGACAAGATGCAGATTGCATAATATTTGGTTTGTGTTTTATTCTCATTTCTAGATCATTGTATACGACGTTTCGCAACCTCCCATGCCATGCCAAAGTGAGTCTCCATTAAGTTGAAAACAGCGGCGGCGGAACGCTTTTCAAACGGGGGGGGGGGGGGGGCATCACCAAAAAGGGGCACTTGCTCAGAAAAAAGGCACCTTTCGTCGGTGCGAAAGAGGAGAAAATTGTGAACCTATTTTTGTTCACATTGCAAACAACATTGATATACCCTTTTAAAAAAATTTGCGTTAAAAATATTAGAAATATTTATTCCCTTACTCAAAAAATTACAGTGTCGTCCTATTCCTAAAATTGTCCCAATATAGCCGTATTGTTCTCAAATAAGGTTAAAGAGCCTTCGGCCTCCGGCACACCTCCGGCAGTAACCTCTCTGGGTCCGCCCTTGAGTTTGACTAGTTTAACCTATGCAAAGGGACCATATTTTTATCGTGAGAGGGGCACTGTTGCTTTTGATGGCCAGTTCAGTGACCAATATTTGCGTGAGGAGTACTATTATTTTCTTTACAGGCGAGTTTTCCATCTTGAGAGGGGCACAGTTTTAATGTTGCGAGCGGGGCACTAGTTGTGCTTTCGAGGGGCAGTTTTCCATCTCGATAAGTTATCGCGAGAGGAGCACTATTGTTTTTGATGGCCAATTTCCCATCTCGAGTGGGGAACAATTTTATTATTGCAAGAGCGGTGTTTGTGTTTTCAAGGGATAGTTTTCCATCTCGAGAGGGTTCACAATCTTGTTAATGCTCGAGGGGTATTTGTGTTTTATTGAGGGGCAATTTTGCATTACAAGAGAAGAGACAATTTTTTAAGCGCGATCATAATGTGTGCATTTGATATTGAGGGGCAGTTTTGTTTTCATCTCGAGGGGGCACTTTATTTTATGACCGCGAGAGGGGCACCTTTGTTGGCCTGGGAAAATGGGGGGGGGGGAATTGGCGTGGTCTAAATAAGTATCTGGGAACATAGGTATGCACCCAGGATGAAGTGGCTTGCCCAAGGACACAACATAATGGCCACAACATAATGGCCATCAACTGATTCGAACCCGTGACCCTCTGATCATGAGTCACTAACCCTATACCACTGTAGCCCACACTAATTCCCACAAGGGTTTACACACAGCCCAAAATAGGGTCGGTTGGAAATTACATGTCTGCATGGGCTCAGATCGGATGGACTCGGATTAAGGAGAAAATATACCTTAAACACAATTATCAGCTCGTAAGTAGTATATTATGTCAATTTATGTGTGAGAATTCAAGGCATCCTTCACATATATCAATGTAAGGTAGTGCTCTGGGTGACCATGACATATGCCGCTGAATAAATCTTTAACCCATATATCGGAACAGGATAACAATATAAGGAGCTTTCTTGAATCGAGGATTATGTCTATTTGTGTCACTCTGCCTGGAGGCGAGTAAGGTCTTGAGATTGGTGAAACTACATAGGCCCTATGTTTAAATAACTTTTCAAAATGGACAAAAAAGAATAAAGTAATAAGTGGCCGAATGAAAGAATAAATGAAAATCAAATCGATATGTAAAAGTTATCTCCTATATGTTATAAAAGATGTGAATTTGAACTGTCCAATAGTTAGCAAATAGATCACATTCCAAGCCGTTACCTTCTATACATGACAGTCACTTAATAACTTCAGTCACTTTAGTCACTTACTGTCTGGAATAATACCGGATCTTGGTCCTTGCAAAGGAATACACAATTCGAACAGAGTCTCTTGAATAACTTCCTATCTGTGAATGACAACCGGTTCATTGCCATGTTGTACTTCCGATATGAGGTGTTGTTTCCACCTCCCTTGTTTGACCTCTATGCAGGAACCCCACAAAATATGCATGTTCTCTGCAGACTTGCGCCATGCGAGCAGGCAGCGGTGGTTGAAGTTTTCTTTCTGTATAGATTACTCATCGGATCTGTTTTAAGGAAGTCATCTCTATTTTGGTTTCAATCACCGCTTGTCATTTTTCATCACGCAAACTGGAAAGTGATAGCCATATCACGGTCAATACTCGTGCAAACAAAGGTGTCAACAAAAATGCATTTTTATTGAACAGTTTCATGACCAACGCTTCAAAATGTGAATGCAGATGGTTCAGTGTAAACCTG